AACCCCTTCAGTACTTGAAAGAGTGATAACAGATACCAGACTTCAGAAACCTATTTTCCTGCAAACAATTTTAAGATAAATATTTTATAAATTCCAAACGAAAGCCGTAATGGTTTCTAGCTCAATGAACGCCTACTGTTTCCTTATAGGGGAACGGCTAATATTATCATTACCATTAAAATTCCCTGATTCTGAGTATAAGTGTTCTTTCTGTTGCTATTTTTTTCTAATTGCTTACACGTGGCGTCCGTGAAATTTTCAGTATGCCTCTTCAGAACCACATTTCTACTGCCTCTAGTTTTTTTTTTTTTTTTGTCTTCTGTTTGTCTTTCAAGTATCTTCTTCATCTGTAGGGACAATGTCCAGGAATATAAGAGGATGGATATCACAGGGTAAGCCAGCACTTATAGTGTTCAGCATCAAGTGAGAGATTAAAAGCATCAAAATTTCGCTTATCTTGTCTCTCCTCAGAGTTTACCGGATATTACACCAACTCGTCAGTTTAATTACAGAAAATGTATTATTATTTTTGTTATTTGCATTTCTGAAATAAATCCTATCTTACTATTAAACTACCCGATGTGTGGATTTAATATTCGCGATACTCAGAACAAGGAATTATATAAGAATATTTACTTTTATTTGTTAATATATATATATACATATATATATATATATATTCAAACAGGATTCGATTCGTATGTTGATGCTGAAGTAATAAACAATCTTTCTCAAAGACCTGTTGTACAAAGTCTTTCTGCTAACCCTTCAACCTTCGAGGTCAAAAAAGCCATCAAACAGCTTTCGAATGGAAAATCCCCTCAGGCGAAGATGTAATTCGAGCTGAAATATACAAATATGGCACCACTCTATTGACACGCAAAATTTTTTTGAAGTTTTCGACTTTGTGTGGGAAAAGTGAGAAGTGTCACAGCAGTATAAGGATGCTTCAATTGTCCATTTCTATAAGCGCAAAGGGATCGGGTGTGAGAGTGACAACCATAGAGGAATATCTCTTCTTTTGGTTGCAGGCAAAATCCTTGCTTGTATCATTCTGAATAGACTTAATGAATTTGTCTCGAAATAGGTATCACCAGAGACCCAACGCAGTTTTGGACCCGGTAGAGGCACCGTGGATATGATCTTTTGTCCCCGACAGGCTCAGAAAAAGGCACAAGAACAAAACAAGGATCTATTTGTTGTTTTTGTAGATTTCACAAAGGCTTTCGATAGTGTTATGTAGTGATTTCACAGTGGAGGCTTGTATTTGTACTAAGTCGGTCCTAAAATAGGTTCGACGTACAAAACGTTAGGAACTTGATATAATAGGTAATGACGCAGTAATCTAGTTGTGGTGGCTGATACTTTAATATCCGACTAACGGTCGTCCGACATCGACTGACTGACCCACTCACTGCCGACTGACTTGTTACTTTTACTACTCTTACTTATTATAGGTGGGAGAGTCTATTAACTATAGAATAGGTGTGTTCCATTATAACAGTTTCGAGCTGCTCTTTCGAAAGTTTTGTCAAAATTATGTGTTCCAGAAAAATACTCCATATTATTATCTCCTTTCACGAAGGAATGAAACCATTTGTAAGGTCGGGAAATGAGCAGTCTGACGCCATTTTTGTCTCCAACGGTACAAAGCAATTTTGCGTTCTTTCTCCTCTTCTCTTTGCACTTTTCTTTTCTGCTATGCTTGAAAAAGCATTCTCTGACCTAAGTGAAGGAGTCAATGATGAATTCAGAACAAGTGGAGGTCTATACAATCAGCAACGTTTTAAAGCACAATCGAAACTTGGTCTGCAGTTTGTATGCGATCTTTTCTTTACAGATGATGCCGCTCTGCACACAGTCTAAAACACATTGAAACTATCCTTGATAAATTCTCTGAAACAGCGAAAGCATTTGGACTATCAACATTAAGAAGACTGAGCTAATGTACCAGCCTGTACCAGGCAATCTATCTCTCATAAATACTTCCATTTTCATTGATGGTATGGCATTAAAAACTGTTGAGGCGTTCACATATCTTGGATCAACAGTCTCTTCTGATGGAAAAATGGTCAGAGAAATCCAATCCAGAATATCCAAAGCTAGCCCAGCATTCGGTAAACTTAAACATAGGTTATGGAACACCAAAGACGTATCTCTCAGAATAAAGATCGACATATACAGATCAGTCGTTCTTTCAGCCCTTCTCTATGGTACTGAGACTTGGACCCTACACTGTAAGCACGTAGATCAACTTGACGCTTTTTCCATGCGCTGTCTTCATGTCATATGTGATACAAAATGGAATGATAGGGTCAAGAATAGTGCAATACTGAAGAAATGTAACATAACAGGCATTGAAACAATTCTAGCAAAGATACAACTTAGGTGGGCTAGGTCATGTTGTGAGAATCGATCAGCATAAGTTTCCAAAAAAGGTGATGTATGGACAACTACCAAACTCCAAGCGTTCATTTGGACGTCCACTCTTACGCTACAAAGACAAATTGAAAAACAACTTGAAACGTCTCAAATTTGATCTGAAAACCTGGGAAACCCAAGCATCAAACCGAAAGGAATGGCCTAAGACATGTTTCATTAAGTTGAAGGGTTTTGACGAGAGTAGACTGAAACACCGTGATCAGCTTAGTCTAGCTCTGAAGCAGAGCCAGCATCAAAATCCTGCTTTAACAAATTTCATGTGTCCGTGTGGCTTTGTCGCCAGCGGCAGGGCTGGGTTAGTATTGCAATTAAGAAAGTACAAATGAAATATGACTTTCCCTTATCTGATTTTCTCCACAATAGCCCTTGCTAGCATGCGTAAGTGTGAAACAAAAGGCACCATCCACTGTTGACCTTCATCGTTGATGATACGAGAGTCCATTATATATTCAAACATATATTAAGTATAACAGACATGAATGTCTATTATGTTTGACCATGATCCTTTCTAAATTTCGTATGCTTGCCTTAATTCCGAGAGAAAATAAAGACAAAAATTTTGATATTTTTTTTATTATGCTGTTCCTAATGATAATAAAAAAATATTCTTTCCGCTTCCTGTTTGTGGAAAAGTTGAAAGGAGAAATAAATTTAGTTCAGTTTGATAACAGTTTCATTGTTCTATCTGGTCTAAATCTTACTCTAAAGGAGTAGACACCTTACATATCAAGTAACCCTCATAGATTTTAAGAGAAATAAATTCACTTCATTTTGATACTAGTTTTATTATTCTATTTGGTTTAAAACTTGCTTCATTGGATTCATTATTGGCAGCAACAAACTTAACAACACAAGATATGCGGTTGGCACAGTTATAATAGCAGACATAAAAAGGAAACTAGGTACCTTTACAGAATATAGTGAAGGAAGGCAAGAAGGACTAAACATCAATTGCAAGAATACAGCATGTATAGTTGTCTGCAAACGGAATAGCCCAATATTCGAATTATAAATTGACGATACCAAAATGAAACAAGTGCAAACATTTAAATATCAAGGAAATGTTTTAAAATACGACACCGAAATCCGAAGACGTATTGAAATAGTTAAAGATGCCTTTCAAAAAATAAGCAGAGAAAAAGGAAAATTTCATTAGAAATAAAGAAAAGAGTACTAAACTGTTATGTAATATCAGTCCTTTTATTTTCTTCTGATCAAAGGGGGTCGATGTGCGGGTGGTGTAATGAATAGCAGGAATCGAAGACCAGGCAGGTTCGTTACCTTCATTTACGCGAAAATTATCTTGGAAAAGGTATGACGCCATCTCTTCCGTCAGCCACGAGTTAAATAGTAGGATTTGTATCTGTCAAATTTTAATACAATTAACTTGCAAAAAAATATTTTTTCTTACAATTCAAAATCTGTTTCGGCTTTAAATAAAACACAAAGGGTTGATAAGCCGTAAATCAATCGGATTCGAGGGACAGCTAACATAGTCTACAATAGATTTTAAATTTAGCAGGAATGATAAAAAAGCTTATCAAATGCTTTTGCATAGTGAATGAAACATAGGTAGACATCCTAGAATGCGCATTGGAATAAAGAAAGTTGCCTTCCAAAAACTAAGCAAGGTATTAAGAAACATGAAAATTTCATTACAAAGAAAAGGGTGCAGAACTCTTACTGAGAATACCACAGAGTGAACATGTGAGCAACGATGAAGTTTCAGAGAAAACGGAAACAATTATACGTACCATCAGAAAGACACAGTTGAAATATACGTAATGAGGAAAGAAGGCTTGGAAAATGTGATACTCACAGGACACAGTGAAGGCACGAGTGAGAGAGATAAGCAACGTATAAGCTCCTAACGAGATCGAATAAACGGTTGGCAAAACAGGGATTAGGAGAGCAGAAGGGCAAACATTAATAAGGTATATAAACAATAGGACGTTGTGGGGAACCGTGATCATCCACGTCCGGAAGGGACACGGCAAATAACAAGAAAAAAATAAAAATAAAAAGAAGAATGTGCCGATTCATTTAATATTTGGAGCAGAATTTGTTTTTGGTTGGACCTTCTTCTATGTGGCATGTCTTTCCACGATGTGAGCGATCATGTCTCTCCACAACTTCCTGTACTTTATAGCTCTTATTAATAAGTTAATGGATTGAGAGCCTTATCGACTGATCGATTGAGATGAGTGGACTGTGGAAAATGAAGAGATGAATTGATTGATTACTGTGAACAGACGCGAATAATTAGATATGAAAGAGACGTTATGCAGTAGGCAAGGTTGATACGAGTAAAAGCAGAAGCGTACGGAAATTAAGAGTCTGATAGAACGGCTATTAGTTTATTAGACTGAGTAAAATAGCTGTAAATTAACAAGTAACGAGCTGGTGACTACTAACTCGGAAAATAGGATCTGCGAGCCGTGTTCAAACCACACCTAAATTCAGAGCATTCCTTTAGCGCGCGACATTCTTGGGAAAACAATAGGTTAAGGTCACTCCACCTACGATGTGTAAATACGATATTACATTTATTTATTTATTTAGATAGATAGATAGATAGATAGATAGATAGATAGATAGATAGATAGATAGATAGATATTGAACAGAGTGAGATAGTAAGATAGATAGGTATTGGACAGACTAAGATGGATAGATAGATAGATGTGAAAAGAGTGAGATAGATAGATAGATAGATAGATAGATATGAACAGACTGAGATAGATAGATAGATAGATAGATAGATAGATAGATAGATAGATAGATAGATAGATAGATACGTACAATGATGCAATAGAATACCTTCACGCATCGAGAAATATCAGCTCAGTATCCTTTTTGTAGAATGGGGAACTAGATAGATAGATAGATAGATAGATAGATAGATAGATAGATAGATAGATAGATAGATAGATAGATATTGAACAGAGTGAGATAGTAAGATAGATAGGTATTGGACAGACTAAGATGGATAGATAGACGTGAAAAGAGTGAGATAGATAGATAGATAGATATGAACAGAGATAGATAGATAGATAGATAGATAGATAGATAGATAGATAGATAGATAGATAGATAGATAGATACATACGTACAATGATGCAATAGAATACCTTCACGCATCAAGAAATATCAGCTCAGTATCTTTTTTGTAGAATGGGGAACTAGATAGATAGATAGATAGATAGATAGATAGATAGATAGATAGACTGAGATAGTAAGATAGATAGGTATTGAACAGACTAAGATGGATAGATAGATGTGAAAAGTCTGAGATAGATAGATAGATAGATAGATACATACATACATACATACATACATACTTACAAAGATGCAATAGATAGATATTGGACAGAGTGAGATAGTAAGATAGATATTGGACAGACTAAGATGGATAGATAAATATGAAAAGAGTGAGATAGATAGATATGAACAGACTGAGATAGATAGATAGATAGATAGATAGATAGATAGATAGATAGATAGATAGATAGAAAGAATCTAATATAAACAAATCAGTTGATACACATCGGAGAAATTGAACGCAAATTGGACAGGGCAAAATAGCGCATAAACAACCTTGAGTCCACATAAGATCTACAAACGATAGGAAATTGTGGAGAGCTATGATCGCACAATCCTGAATTGTCACAGCACATATAAGAGTACACACACACACACACATATATATATATATAATTGGTATCCTGATGTATATTAATTTGGTAATTAATTTACTTTTGACTATCAGTTCCAGAATCCGTATACCCCTTACAAATCTATCTATCTATCTATCTATCTATCTATCTATCTATATATATATATATATATATATATATATATATATATATATGGGGGGGGCGGAGAGAAGACGATATTTGATTTATTTTCTGATCACTCTAAAAGGTCAGGCTTGTTGGATCGAAAAGCCATCATCGGTCAGACGCATCGCAGAGCCATCTCTTTTGTTTTGTTGTCCGTATCAATGTCTGCGTCCTCTTATTTGGAACCATCCAATCAAACAAGCAACAGAGCTTGACATTTAAGTCGACTCGACGATGTGTTCATCATTCCTTAACAACTTCATCCCAGCAACGTCCAAACGCTGCAACCACCATGGTCATTACCATCGGGCCATACCATCGAAATTCCTTTCTCTCTGTCCCACTTTACACCATAATTATTCTTCTGTTGTTTTTTTATTTATTTTCTATTTCATTAATTTATTTATATTTCACTGGATTAACCGGAGCATGAATAGTTCCAGAGAGGACATCGGTGTTACACTTAACGTCGAAGCTGCGGTCGTCACGTTGCCATGAGTACCGTCGTCAGCTTTTCTCCTCTTTATTCTTTTCTTCTAAACAACATCGTCTGCTTTCTCACCTTGCATCTCTTCTTTCCTTCCTTCGAATTGAAGTTTTTAATTTTAATAATTTTATTAATTTTCTTTAGTATTGGTGTCACTGCAGGTGGAATTTAAGTAATGAAAAGCGGAGAGCTAAGTTCGAATTTCAGTCTAGATTAATACATTTACTTACGCCTAATTACCTTTGGGAAAGCTATGTATACATCTCATCTCTCCCCCATTTATGTGCTAAATAACCAGAGGAAAAGAGTTGTCAAGCAATCTAGAAGAACCACTCTTTCAAAACCCGTAACGACCTAATCATGGATAGCCCTTTGGCAAAGAATAGAACCTGGACGCCACATCCGCCAGTGTTACGGGGAAGACATCGGAAGCAGAGTGTTGGATGTGTCCAATGGGTAAAATCTAACGGACTAGATTTGACATTGAGCAACAATAGTTTCGTGCAAATGGTCTTTCATACTGGACAATGGATGAAACTTAATTATTCCAAGCGCCGTGTATTTTTTTTTAATTTTTGTATTAGATTGCTTGAAAATTGAGGGAGTTTTAGTTTAAAATTTGTGTTGAAGTCGATTTTTATTTTTTTGCGGTATTCCCCGAACGCAGTCACGTAGAAATGTATCTTTGAGCTCGTCATGATGTAAGTAACCTACACACCGAGTTTTAACGAAATCAGAGGAGAAAAGTGGAATTTATCGATATTTGATCGGCTTAATCAATTATTGATTTTTTTTAATTATCGATTTTTACGCTAAGATCCTATCCCATTCATTGTGTATGCCAAGTTTGATCGGAATCGGCTGGATGAATCTCGAGTGAAAAGGTACCACACAGACAGACAGCTTCTGTTTTAAATTGATTTTCCAAGCATAGCTTAGATATGGTACAAGTATGGTTCACCCAGTGAGAATCGAACTCACTACTCAGTCGTAATTGTTCTAGCGAGACAAGCTTGCTAACCATTATACCACCTCGAGGTGCCCAAACCTGTAGTAATAATTATAAACCTCTGTTTTATATAGAGAGATTATGATACTAAACGGATATTTCAAAACTTTGTTGAAAAATTTTCGCCATCTGCTCCGTATGCATCCTTGCAAATTTCAAATCTATCATTACCGTTGCGAAACACATTTTGAAACTTTTCAGGAGTCATCTTTTGCGCGGCTAGCTGAAAACGTTCTTTAACCCTTTGTGCCCTGCGTTCTTGAACAATTTAAACCCTTTTATCTGAGCTCCTGAGTCAAAATTCGCAAATAATTGGTATGTAACGTTTCGCGGTAGACACATAATTGATCCCCCACTTTATATCCGCATTGTAATTTTTTTGGTTTAAAAAATTCTGATTAAATGTGAATACCCCTCCTTCCCCCCAGCTAATTAATTAGTGAGACTTGTATCAGAAAAGAAATTGTTACAATCTAAAAATAATTTCTGGCTTTAAATAACCTGCAAAGGGTTGATAAGCCATAGAAAACGAATCAATCAATCAATGAAATACTGATTCGCTACACAGGCATGTGTTTTAGATTTATTTACATTCTGTCACCATAAAGTGAGAGATCAGTTTATATATTGATTGCAATACATAATTGATCCCCCACTTTATATCAACATTGTAATTTACTTTTTTGTTTAAAAAATTCTGAATTAGTATAAATCCTCCTCTTCTCCCTCCCAGCTATGGGTTAATTAGTAAGACTTGTATAAAAAAAAAAAGAAATTCGTACAATCTAAAAATGTTTTCTGGCTTTAAATAACCTCCAAAGGGTTGTTAAACCGTAAAAAACGAATCAGTCATTGATAAAACAAAAGAAGCCGATTTGCCATACTCAGTGGCGCACTATTTACCAACGCAACCTGAAGGGGCCCATGTGGAGGTTAAGAACAAAAATGCAGTATTGCTGCCATATCTCTGCTGGAGATGTCTGAACTCTCCTTTCTAGCGTTGAGTCCAAAATTGTTTATGCGATCATGTAGGTGACCACTTATTTTCTACTCTGCAACCTAATTTCCCCACAGACGAAACGTCGCAAGCCTATCGCTATTCTATTAGGATTTTCATGGCAAATTCTCGGACAAGATCCACTCTAGTTCCAACAATTCAGACCTTTACAGCTAAGCTCTACCATGCAGCGTCCATGGTTTCAAACCACCCTCAGTCTGTGTTCCACCTAGGCACCTTTTCTCCAAGAACCGCTGCTTTGTGGAACAGACTCCTCTGTGGATATGTTATATTCTGTGCTAATAGGAATATGAACTGGACAAACACGGTGGATAAATAGTAACAGGTTTATTGTAGAAACCAGTACAACAAGCAAGGAAGTAATAGTTATGTGCAAGTTTATTTCTTTCATATCTTTGACACAGATCATCATTCTGTCTACAGTTTCAAGGTATCTTTAAGGACTGTTATATTCCGTGTTAATAGGAATATGGAATGGACAAACACGGTGGATAAATAGTAACAGGTTTATTGTAGAAACCAGTACAACAAGCAAGGAAGTAATAGTTATGTGCAAGTTTATTTCTTTCATATCTTTGACACAGATCATCATTCTGTCTACAGTTTCAAGGTATCTTTAAGGACTGTTATATTCCGTGTTAATAGGAATATGGAATGGACAAACACGGTGGATAAATAGTAACAGGTTTTAACTTACTTGTTGTACTGGTTTCTAACCAGTACAACAAGTAAGGACGTAATAGTCGAAAGTCAGTACAGTTGTGTGCGTGCTGCTATCGGAAGGCCGCTAGTTCTCGCAGATCGATGGTACTTATCTGCCTCCCCACGAGGAAGGATGTGGCAGAAGGCCAAGTGTAACGTGGGGCAATCCGAGCTCTTAAGCTCGGCCAAAATTTCCCGTAACCTCACATAAATGGGTTCGGTTCTGTCTACCTCCCCGGACGAGACTCTAGCCTTCGCAAAGGCAGAGAGTTCGACAGCAGCCAAGATCTGAATAACAGATCCCAAGTCGACTCTGCTCTCCGCTGTCCTAACGGATACTCATGGGGGTGGCAGGTTATTCCATCACATCAGGATATTACCCGGAACTCTATAGTTTTAACATTTTCAATCCAATGATCAATCGTTACCTATCCTTTATATGTACTTCTTATTTCCTCTTCTTACACTCATACCTCATGGATCTTTCAATAACTCTCTGCCGTGATTAAACGTGATTTAAAATTAATTTTAAAAATAAAAAAATATTTTTCTTGAAGATTTTAGTGTTAATTTCAAGCTAATAGATTACTTTTAAATAAGCAAAATATTCCTTCAAAACACTTAATAAAAAAAATAAAATTTTAACAAAAATTTGATAACGATATTTTTTCTTTTCTAGTTGTTGCCCTGAGGAACACGTATTTTATTGAATGATATCTGACGCTTGATTCTAGGTAATTTGGGTTCACTGAATACGGATTTCATCTCGGTTTGGCGCTATCAGATCCTGATTCTTAACTGTATGCCCTTTTCCAGATTTTTCAAATTAGGACTAAAAAGTCATATGTTATTTTTTTTCATGGTTCATAAACAGAAGCAGTTCAAATTACGGTATTGACTGAATGACTGATTAACTCAGGAAACTAGTCGCTTTTATATATTTTAGTTGGCCCTCTAGAATATTCTACAGAAAACAGGAATGCTTGGGAAAATTCTAGATTTCTGTGATATTTTTACCTTAATTTACTAATATTAAAATGGATATTTTTAAAAATGACAAAACTAAAAATAATTTTGAGTGTTACATATAAAAGTATACATAATACAACAATACCATAACAATAGGTACAAATACCTAAATAAAACTTACGTGTAACAGCAACAAGACTTAGCGAGTATTGAGAAAAAAAACCCTTTTCTGAATACGAAGAAATAGGAGGGTTGTCGACCAAAACCGAGTAAACATTCGTGCTCAGAGCACCAAAATTACATAGTACTGTCAAATCTAATGCAATAGACAAAAAATTTGAAATTTGTTCCCCACTGTAATAAATCCTGGTTGGTTTTCCAGTTCTCTTCGGATCGCCTCTCTGTAAAATTTTAAAAAAATCGATAAGAAGAAGAGCATCCTTGTTTTTTTTTTATCATTCCACATCAATCAAAGCAATAAAGACACTAAGACACAAGGAGTTACTGAGTGTTAAAGAATGAAAGTGTAATGAAGTTTTACTGATTTACGGAAATTAGTATGCACTCAACTGTCTCATGGGTAATAGCTGTAGCTATTTATAGTCCTTGTGACTTCACATGCATATGAGTCACCTCAATGAGAAAAAAATATTATTAAAGATAGAGAACAATAAAAGATCAGGAAGTAAGAAGTCAGAATATAACTCTTGATATTGCATTAAATTTTTAGAAGATAAAAGTTGACTGGTATGAACGAAACCAGAAGAGAATTCTACCAGAGAGAAGTACGAGAGAAAATGTATAAATTCACTTTCATCATTAAAACTTCGGATCATGTTTTTTTTTAAAAAAAATGTAAAGATTGCCATGAAGTGAAAGTATTTAAAATAATAGATGGAAACCGTTCTCTTTTTTTTTTTTTTTTTTTGCGCGCACAAAAGTACAAGTTTACCCTGAATATATATATATATATATATATATATATATATATATATATATATATATATATATTATGCACTGTTACATTAGAAAATGTACATTCTCGTTACATAACTGTGCATGTTGTTTCAACGTTACAAATTGATGTTTCTTTAGGTGGGAAATCACGATGGTACGATGCATAATAAACATTTA